TCCCCCCCCCCTTTCACAGCGCCCAGTCACGTGTATGCTGTGTGCGCACATACCTGCGCAAATGTGATCACACCAGCTGCTTGCCTGGTCATCTCGCATCTTCATTGACATTCTGATGACTCGAGTTCGACGCCTGATGTGATGCTGCTGCTGCTGCTGCTCCTCCTTGCTCTCTATTCAAGCGGTCTATCGTTTCCTGTCTCCACTTTTCAATCTCTGCTTCGGAAGCTAGAATACCTTTTCTTCCCAGCTCTGTCCTTGCGCGCGTCCTGATCATATTTTCCTCGATGCGTTGGCTGCTTTCGTGAGTGAGCAATTGGGTATCTGCTCCGACGACGAAGCTGCGATATGGAGAGAGAGAGAGAGGCGCGCGGTGCGCAAGTCAGGAGAGCATATTGGCTAGTGGCAAGACGGCGAGCTTTAGGAGAGTGGAGGCGATGCAGATGCAGAAGAGCAGTCCCACCCCTCCCCTGTATTCGTTTCTGCTTTTTTGCTTCTGCTCACCCAAAGATGGCAAATCCGGACAAGAGGAAACTCTTCAAGGCTAAAGTCTGTGATCTGAATTTGGGATAGTAATGATGCGCTGTAAAGATGGTAGCTAGGCCCACCAGACCATAAGTGGAAGCGCCTCGAATCGCTGCATCCTATCACACCAGATCACGAGGAAGGAGGGGGGCGATGATGATGGATGGCAAATTTAGCTCGCTCGAGTGAAGAGTAGCGTGGGGTAGATTCGAGGAACAAAGAGTAAACGCACCCTTTGCAATTTGTAAGCTTCTTGTATCTGTTGCTCTCTGTGCTTTCGGCGCGCTCGGACAGTGGGAGCTTGGGGATCCACAGCTGGTCCGGCTTCGTAGACTGACTGGACGGGCATGTTGAACCGATTCGCCCCACCCCCTTGATCGACTCCTTATCTGGCAGACTCGGCCCGTTTATGGAGGGGAGGGGGAGGTCATGGGCTCGCGGGAGGAAAGGATGGTTGCTGTCGGACCTCGGACGGTCTGATCATCGATGCTAGTCAGCAGCGCACATACTCACCGTGCACCGAGTTGATGTGATTCACGATTTGGTCTGGCTTGTGCGCGACAGGCCTACAACAGCTGTTGAGGGTTTGGGCGAAGATGTCGCATCACGTGTGTTACTTTTGTGGTCACGTGTTTGGTCCGCCTGGGACGGCTCACATACAGGTGAAAGCACGTCATACCAAAAACACGTGAAAGCACGCAATTTGGAATCACGCCATCGATTAGACAATTTGCGCCATTTTAGGTACGGCCATACGCCATGTCGCAAGTCCGCAGTGCCGCCGCGCATGCAACTCATCACGACTGACTGACTGACTGACGACGGAAATAGCGTGCTTACGCGTTTGTGCCGCCGTGCATTGCGATCTGAAATCACGAATGGAATCACAGCAATCACAATGCCATTCGATCGTGATGATTCATGCCTCTGCGATTCGGTCGTACAGTGAGGGAATAGGTGTGTGCGCTACGATCTGCCAGCCTGAAGGGGGAAGAGCACAGCTAAAGCGGGCTTGCCGGTCCGCTTCAACACAGCATGTGTGGATGTGTGTGAGAGAGAGAGAGAGAAAGACGGGCAAAGTCAAGGCGACGTATGCTAAGTCGATGATCGAGGAGGAGGAGGAGGAGGAGGCGCAGCGCCGTGCACCTTCTTCTTACCGCCTCCGCCAAACGCATGCAGATGGTCCATCAGCCAGGCAAGGGCAGCAAGTCTAGGCGAAGTGGACTGGGACTGCCACTGCCACTGCAACTCATCGGCGAATGTGAATTGCGAATGTATCGTTGTGCTGTGTGCGCATATATAGCATGTGGAGAGCATGGACTGCTGGAGCAGAAGGATCGAGGAGCAGGAGGAGCGAGGAGAGCTCATTCGCGATTGTTGTGGCTCAGCCGAGCTGCATCATCCTCGTCTCGTCTTATTCGTGATTCGTGATTGCTGGTATGATGACACGCCCACTCGCATCGCACGTATGCGCTTACTCGATCGTGATTCATCAGATTTCATCAAACGACGCTGCGCATCCATCCGTCTACTTCCATCAGGTCCCTCGACTCCGTGCATCCATCCTCCTGTCCACAACCATATAAACGCCAGGCTGGCCTCTCTGTTGTCAGCAGCATTTGCTTCACGCACTCGCACACGCACACGCACACGTCCTCGTACTCAGATCTCCGCTGCACTACTCATTGCGATCATAGCATTCACATCATCAGACTCGCAGCACTCAGCAATATAGCCATTCTCACAAGCACGCACGTGCACGTCGATCAGAAGAGTCATACCCTCGCACTTCAAAAATGGCACCATCTGCAATCTCTGGTAGTCCCCCACCTCGCTACCACTCGCCTCCGGGTGGCTCAAAGGCAAGCGATCTCAAGCAAGCATCAACAACGACCACGGAGCAGCAGACGAACAAGAAGCCGCCCAAATATGTCGTGGATGATTTCAAGTGAGTGGAAGATGCTCCTTGGCGTCGACACGATTGCCATTCCCGTGGCTCATCCTTCTATCCTACGCCCTCCTTAGCCCTTACCACAATCCGTTGAAGGTCACCGAGTCCGAGGCAGATAGGCAGTACCCCTTTCCTGATCTCAAGCCTTGCTTCCCTTCCGACATCAACACTGCCCCGTACGAGCCAATCACCAACTTTGTGGACCGTGGCACCTTTGCGGACTCGTCCAAAGCCGCCTTGTACGGTGCATCTACCAAGATTGACCACCTCAGCGTCAACATCGGCACAGAGCTGATCGGTCCTCAACTTCACAAGCTCTCTGCTCAGCAGAAGGATGAATTGGCGCTGCTGGTCGCGGAACGTGGTGTAGTGGTGTTCAGAGATCAGGAACTTTCTCCTGACCAATTGGTAGAGTTTGGTGGATATTTTGGAGCATCGGACAGACCGCTGCATCAACACCCATCGTCTGGTGTTCCAAGAAGACGCGGACTGGACGACGTGCATGTGGTGTGGCACGACGAGTCGATGAAACCTAGCGACCTAGCCTTTACATCCACCGAGCTCTACCATTCCGACGTCACTTTCGAACTCAACCCGCCAGGATTGACGGCTCTGCACAACATCACCAATCCGGTGCATGGAGGGGGAGACACGCTGTTCAGCAGCGGTTACGGATTGTACGACAAGCTGAGCGATCCTATGAAAGCTTACTGCGAGAGCTTGCAGGCCGTTCATTCGGGCGTCGCGCAAGCTGAAGGCGCTTCCAAAGCTGGCCTGCACCTTCGTAGACCCGCTTTGGAGACGACGCACCCGCTAGTCCGCACGCATCCCGTCACGGGTTGGAAGAGCATCTTTGCGAATCCAGCCTTTACCACCGCCATTGCTGGAGTTCCTCGATCGGAATCTCAAATGATCCTTAATCACCTCTTTGGTCTCATGACCAACTCGCCCGAGTTGACGTTGAGGGTGCGATGGCAAACGGGCACGGTCGTCGTTTGGGACAATCGAGTGACGACGCACAGCGCGACGTACGATCATTGGAGACCTGATCCCACGTGCAGGAGGCATGCCCTCAGAGTAGCAGCTACGGCCGAAATTCCTTCCTTGCTCAGACCGGATGGTTCCGAAGGTGTTTCAAGGCAGGAACAGATTTGGGAGCAGCAAGGATTGGACGTGCAGGCGCTCAAGAAGAGGTTGGCTACGCAAAAACCATCCGGAGGCTTCAAGGACTGACACTCCTTCTTTCGCGCACTCGCCCGTCCACACTGTGATGATTTGCCGATACCTTGCCCCGCACTTAGCACACCCATAGCAAAATTCACGCCCTTTAACAACAATGATGTAAACCCCATCCTTGGCTTGAAAGTCGACCAAGCGTGAGCGGGCTCACGCTTCGAAGTCGACCGCTTATTTATCGAGAGGTCAGGGGCCCAGTCTGCATGCATCGTTGAGGAGTTGGGCAGGATGGGAGGTTTGACGGACGTGTACAAGGCGAGGCGAGATTGACGTGGGGGTGTCGGTGCAAGACGGAGCAGCTGGACGAGAAAATTTTAGGCCATTTGATGAAGCAAGCATGTTGACGGTGTAGTGCGGCCCGATATAAGAGGAGAGATGTGGGAAGGAGGGGGGTGGGAGGGTGTGCGCTCTTCATGCTGATCGTTCGGCGGTGGGATCTCGATCTATGTTGAGGCTGTAAAGCCATGCCACATCCTTATCATCTCCGTCATGTATCCGATCCTCATCCTCCTCCTCCTCCTCATCATCATCCACAACACCAGCACCTGCAGCCTTCAATTTGTCGAACATTTCGTTCATCCTCTGATCATCCAATCCGTCCGATCTTCGGCCTGCTGCTAACCTAGCAGCTTCCTTCGACGTCGAGAGGCTAGGCGAAGATTCCCTTTTGACACCTGCACCGCGCGCAGCGTCCTCTTTGCTCGGCACCAGCGTCAGACCTTCTTCGTTTGCCAGATGCAGTAGACAGATGAAGCAGAATGAGGTGCTGATCTCATCTAGCCGGTCTTTGGTGTACGACTTTTTGAGACCGTCCATGACGGTTGCAAACGTTCTCGGTTCTTGCTTCATCACGGGCTTACGATCCGCCTTGCCTGGCGTGGAGGGACCGTCCTGCAGACGAAGAAGCGGTCAAAGTCAGTGGCCATGCGCCAATCAAGCTCACATTCTACTGGAGCGGACTCACCTCGTCATCCGTGGATGATCCTGCATCCAAATCCTCCACAAGCTCGAGGGCAAGCTCTTTCCAGATGTTGTCTTTGAGCTTCTTGACATCCACGCGTTTTGCCTTTTTCGCATAGTTGACCATCTCTGGTCTGATCTTCTTGAGTGCCTGCGTCGGCAAGAGCATGCCCTCCTCTTCCGCCTCCGCCAGGTCCATTTGAACATCGCCTCCGTCCATCGCGTCGAATGCGCCATCATCATCGTAGAACTGACCGGGCGCATCTCCTGTGATGACCAAATCCGCAAGTGATCATGTGAGGACGTGGCTAAGGTGGTGTAGAAAGGGCGCAGACTCACCATCAAACTCGCCACCGGAAGCGAGATTCTGCTCACGCTCTGCAGCCGCTGCGGCCCAGAATTGCTCGTCAACATCGGCTGGATGCAGCAGATCGCTTTCGTTCACTTGAGCGACTCGCGCTCCTCGTCTTCGGAGGTTGAGCTATATCGCGAAGGACGAAGGGGAGGGAGGTCAGTAAGGAGCCTGAGTTCAGACATCGACTCCGTATCTCACTATTGCCCTGGGTTTGATGGCCAGTCTCAGCAGCTCTCGACTGCTGAAATGCCTGTCTTCGGGGAGTAGATGAAGATCGTCTTGCTGTGTGCGCGGCAGCATGATTCCTGCGCCTCCCTTGGCCGCTTCGAAAATGTCAGAGCTCGAGACAGCTCCCTCGGGAGAGGAAAAGTCAATGATGAAAGGCTCTTTGACTTTCTTGACTGTCTTGGCTGCTGTTGCTGTAGCATCACCATCTGCAAGGCAAATGCAAGAGAGAGAGAGAGAAAGAAAGGGGAGAGAGAG